ATGAACACCAGAGGGCAGCAGTTTTCAGTATCATTCTCGTGGTCTTCTGGGTTTTTGAAGCCCAACTGTAGAAATGAATGGTACCAATTATAAGGTTATTGGGAAGTGTAAGATATTTGATCTATATATGGCAGTGCGGTGTTATGAATCCTTAAACTGCAGGTGCTACTTAATAGTGTCCTGGACAGACTGCATCCACCTAGGCTGGCCTTTTGATCCTTCTGAATAAGAAGATTGAGACAATTCCCTATTTTGATTGAACTTTCCTTGAATACCATGGTCAATAGCTAAGGTTGTATAATAATGGCTAAACATATTTACTCCGGCTGGTTTCATGGGCATGCATGGCAACTGCATGATGGATTACTTTTACAGGCTGGGTTGCTACAACATGCTGGGGCTAAAATGTGGTTGTTGGTTTGTGGCTTACTATAAATATAAACATACTTTGTGTGAGTCCTGGTATGCTCCTGCATTTTTGGTTATTTTTCTGCTTTTCTCATTACTCCTATCTTCTGCCCCAAGTAACAATGGACTCTAAAGTGAAAGCAAGCAGGTATTCTGCAATTCTTAGGTCTTTTATTTCATATCCTCATTCATTTCATGTCCACATCCATATTATTAGGAGCACTGACTGCAACAAATTAAAAGAAAGAATAGGAAGGACTCCCTGGCTAGAAATCCTACAGGGAAAACANAAACGAGCTTTTTGAGGAGGGGGCAACCCTGGCAAGCACATGGGGAGACAAAGACTATCACTTGTGCTAGAACCATTTAATAGAATTATACATATCTGCCAAATCCAGGAAAAAAAGGTTTATGCATATATATCTTTTTTTTTCTCCATTTCACATCTGCAAGCATTAAAAACAACAAGTATTTTTGCTGTTTGGAAATTCAAGGTCAGAGCAATTGACCGATGTCTTAAATATATATACTTCTTTCTCCTTACTGCTAGGTTTTCCAACAGTGGGCTACTGTAGTACAGGTGAATGTAAAAGTCCAAGTGTATTTTTATTTAGTGACTTTTTAAAAAAAGATCTCAGTGATGTTCATTCAGCCACAGCTTGCTGTTAAAAGTTGCTTTGTTTTTTTGTTTTTTTTCAGTGCAGTTTACCTCTGGTGAAAGGCAATTTTAGAGCAAGAGAAAGACAGAAAGAAAACCAGAGACGGGGAGGCAGAGGAAAAGAGATAGAAAAAGAAAGAAAGAAGAAATAGAAAGATGGTCATATGTGACTCAGTTGCTCAAATTTCACTGTTAATTATAACCTCTGTAAAATCGCAGCAGAACCGCCTGCTGGTGTGGGGTTTATAATTGCATACAATACAGGAGATCACAGTTTTAAAGTCTAGCACAGATTAAAAACCACAGATGTACCATTTATATAAGACACACACTGATTGTCTCTTAAAAACTACATATTGACTCCTTATTGACATTATTCTTATTTCCCCCCCTCTTAAATAAAGTAGTGCAGCTAAGACAATCAGTCCCATGATCCACAGAGCTCTTAACCGAGTTCTTTGTTCATTTTTTTCTCCTATGGCCAACTTTGCCAAATGTGGCCGAAGCAATCGAAGAAGCTTGAGAGATGTATATGGATGTATTGTCCCATAATACAAACATTTTAACCAAGGTTGGATGGAAGGGGAAGGAAAAGAAGGGTCATTCTTGCCATACCAAAAACAAGGTATCTAAGTGTAGGAAGACAGGCCAGAGAGAGGGGAGGAGAGGGAGAGGGANTCTTGACAGACTTGAGCATTGAGCCATAGCAAACACCAAGCAGTGCAGTAGTGAGAAAAATAAAGTCCTGCATGTTTCCTTAAGGTGGAAACTCTTCCCTTTTATTTCTGCCCGACCCAAGGATCTCTACTAACAGCTGACTTTAAGTGCTCTGTTCTTTCCCTGGAATGTCAGAAAACTAAACCAGGATGAAATTTGCCAGCTCCTATCCTGCCACTATTTCCTTTATTCCTAGTCACTCTCATAACTTCTTCCTAGCAGATGGGTAACAAAGCCTAACACCTTGTGCAACTTGAGCCTCTTTCTGGACAGAGTCAGAATTAATAATATTTTGTAAAGCTGGCACAATAGAGAACAACTTAAGCCTGTCTCACTCATTACTTGGAATGAGATGAAGGTAACATCCTAAGTACACAACGGGGGAAAATGTTAAATGCAGTTGTGGAAAAGCCATGAAGAATCCATTTTCATAATGGTGTTTTTATACAGTAGATCTCTTGTGGGCCCGAAGGACTCACGACTAGTGATGCATTTGACCCCCCCCCCTCTGGCTTAACCTCATCATCTCCTACATCCATTTGACTAAGAATTGATTCATATATAGACATACTATAAAATTAGATATACTGTAAAACTATAATTTAAAATGAAATATTGGATAGAGTCTATCCATGTATAGGGGTACAAATCCACCTTTTGGATGGGGTACAAATCCACATATTAAATTATAGTCTAGGAATCAAATTCTATGTCAAATTTACTTTATTCTAGACTTCAGTGGTTCACCATTCTTCTATTAAGGAGCTCTAATAAACTTTCCAGTAAGAACCATGTAATATACTTGAAGCAGCTAACATATACAAAAGCTAATTTGATACACTGTGAAGGAATACATGGTTTAATAAAGTTTGATATGAATAGTGCAGGTTGAACCTTATACATTTGTTTGATTCTAGTATTATTTTCTAGAATTATTGAGCTTTACACCATTGCGATCAAATGTAAAAAATTGATCTGATTTACTCATTACATTTCCAGCAATTTTGGAACTGAATGAACTATTCCTTTTAGCAATCAGGACTGGAAGAATATACCAATGGTAAAATATGTCAATTTTTCCCCTAGAAATCCAGTCTCTGAAGTTCCAGTCTTCATGTACATAGACAATTGAAGGATTGAGACTGACAACATAATGGGTGCTCCTTAGCCAGAGTGACTCTACTATTTGATTTGTCTACTGGAAATTTAATTAGGTGCACCAAGTTTTTGATCAATACAATTTCAAGACCACCTAACTCCACAAAGACTCCAGACAGCTTACAACTTAAAAAAAACATATTACAAATAGAAGCCTAGTACACAAAATTATCTGCTACAATGTCCTACCTATCAATGACTACTTCAGCTTCAACCGCAACAACACACGAGCTCACAATAGATAGAAACTTAAGGTAAACTGCTCCAAACTAGATTGCAGAAAATACGATTTCAGCAACAGAGTGGTCAATCCCTGGAACGTACTACCTGACTCTGTGGTTTTATTCCCAAACCCCCATAACTTTAACCCTAGACTGTCTACTGTTGACCTCACCCCATTCCCAAGAGGTCTGTAAGGTGTGTGCATAAGTGCACCAGCATGCCTACCATCCCTGTCCTCTGTCTCCACTTATTCGTATCCATTTCCTGTATTCATAATCATGTTTATACATATATCTGTTATCTTATACATGCTTGACAAAATAAATAAAATTTAAATTAAAAAAAATTAAATAAAAAATAACTAACTAACTGGGGGCTCCATAAATGCCCCAAGTCCATGGGGGCAAAACCAGATCTTCAGGAACCTATAGAAGATATGAAGTCTTGGAACCATATGTATCTCTGAGAGGAGGGAATGCTGTTCCAGAGGAACAGGCGTATGCTTGCTGTTGTTCCCATTTAAATTTGCCCACATATTTTATGTTTTTTAAGGTGTTCAAATGAGCAGGATTGCTAATCCTTGGTGGTTTTTTTAAAAAAGCATAATGACAAGTAGAAACAATGGCAGAAAGTTTGTGACTGGATTTGAAAAGGATCTCTTCAATCCCAGCACAGTTAATATCCCAGCTTTTGGGATATTAACTGTGCAGCATCTTAAATTTGCCAAGGTTGAAAAATACCATTTAAGAGTGTTGATGTTGTTGCTGCTAACTTTGCTGGTATTATATCTCCATCCTCTTCCAGGCTGACCAAAGGCCACTTCATTAAGCTCCCATACATGATTGGCTTGACTGTATCAGAAGTTCTGTAGCTCAGTAAATATCTGGCAAGACCTGAACAAACCTCCGTGCCTGTTTCAGCATGTAGATGAGAGTAACCACAGGGCATTAAGTTCCTGATTCTCCCAGCCAATCATGTTCGAAATTCTCTCTACTCATCCTTGAATAAGCACAAAATACTACCAACTTCAAATCTCCTCTTCCTCTTGCCAATCTTATCTCATAACAATTTCTAAACTGTGTGCTTTAGAAGGGAGGGTTGGTTTTTCTCCTCTGATTTGGCTAGGACTTCTTGATGAAGGGAGGAGAACAAAGAGTTAGATAACTGAGAAAGGAAAGCAACATTGCCACCTTCCCTAAGGATCTACCAGGATCTACAAACCCTAACACACTGGGAGCTAGGAAGGCTTATATTAATTAGGAGAACATCTCAGTAGGAAGTAAGTCAGATTGGTGTAATGTTGAAGACATCAGTCTAGAATCCTGGCGGTTGTGATTTCTACTCCTGCCTTTGGCACAAAGCCAGCTGGGTGACCTTGGGCTGGTTACAGTCTCTCAACCATAGAAAGGAGGCAATGGCAAAACATTTTTGAAACCTTGCTTTTTAAAAAAAAACCTGCAGGAATTACTCCAGGCAGTTGCCAGGGTCATCATTGACTTGGAAGCACCCACACACTCCTATCTTGGTAGGACAACCCAATCTCTTTTTGGTGTCAAAATTCAACCCCAACATAAGAGATCTTTAGGATTCATTGAGGCAACCTTCTGTTCTCAACAGCCTGGGATTCCATTTCATCATCAGGAATATTCAAGGAATTTGGGGTGGAAAGATGGAGGAAAGAAGGCATACAGCTTTATATCTTTGCAAAAACAAAAAAGTGCTTCCTTTAATTCTTCTTTGATCTGGCATCTCTCCTATCAGGCTGGTTGGGTTTGTGTTTCCACCACCAGCTTTGNATTCCATTCCATTCCATTCCATTCCATTCTATTTTTTTTCTTAGGGGTCTTCAGATACGTATATTCAGCAACAGCTCTTCTCATTCCCTTCAACTACTGTTACTAACAGGGTCTGTGGCTAAAAGAGGCTGAAGTAGCGAAAAGGGGGGGGGAAATGGAGTGGAAGAAAACTTTCTTAAAACATTCGCCTGCCTAGAAAGCTGGCTTTCTGTCCATTGGGGTGGGAAGAGAGAGGTTTGAGTTTCAGAGCTCCTCTCTTTCCCAGGAGCTTCTTGGACTGAGAGGAAAGTCAGGATGCTGAGGACACGGTACTAGATCACCCTGGATCTCAGCATCTCTTTCTCCATTCCACGCGCTTTCTTTCCTCGGCCTCCTCCTTCACTACCCTACCCAGACCCTTACCAGTTGTATCGTCCTCCCCCCCATCTCCTCCCCACCGCCCCAGCTCCCTGGAGATCCAGAGGAAAAAGTAAAAGGGGGAGGCGCGCGCACCAGCCCTTCCCTTACCTGCACTCGGGACTCCGGCAAGTTAATCTTGAGGGCCACCTCTTCGCGCATGAAGATATCCGGGTAGCGGGTTTTTGCAAACAGGGCCTCCAGGACGTCCAGCTGCGCGCGGGTGAAGGTGGTGCGCTCCCTCCGCTGTTTCCGAGGGGTGGCTGGGAAAGAACAAACGCCAGCTCAGAGCGGTCAGCAGAAAAGCCCCGGAAAGTCGGGCTTAAGTCCGGAAAAGAAGAGTCGGCCGCACTACAACGGGGGCAATCGGTCCATCTTAAACCTTTTTCGGCGCCGCTGACTTCCCCGAAAGCCCTGCCCTCCTCTTTCCTTGGGAGTAAAGCCCAGACAAGTCCGGTTTCGCGAAGGTTGATTCCTAAAGAAAGCTTCTCTCCTGGGCGGACTCGGGCAGAATCCGGTTGAGGGAGAGATCTCTGCTGCGCGATGGTGGCCACTTCTCCGAGCTCAGAGAAGACCAAGCTCTCCGGGCCGCAGCCTAACCGGGTCCGGGTCCAGGTGGCCCAAAGACAGGCCGCAATAGCGCGCGATCCTATCGCCTCCCTTCTAAAAGAGCCCTATCGAGCTGAAGGCGACGGACTCTCTCGGGAGAGGCCTGGGGAGGCCGGGGTGAGGGTGGGGGTGGTGTGTGCAAGCCCGACTTCTTGAAAAAAAAGAAAGAAAGTGGGCCAGCGTAGCTTCAAGGGCGCCGGTAGGAGAGCAGTGAGCTCAGGGTGGCCGCCCCAGAGTTGCCGTATTTGACGGTGCACCGACTGGGGAATCGATTCGGATACAACGGGAGGCCTGCTGGTGGCGTCTGGGTGCGAGGACCTAGCAGGATCTGGAACGACCGTGCAGATGGAGGTTCCAATAGAAGAGAAGATAGGTTGAACCGTCCCTTGGGGCTCTCTGACCTTGGCGGTTTGCTCGCAGATGTGTCATTACCCAAGTCGGTAAGATCACCAGTCCAGGTAAGATCAATAGTGTCTAATTGATGATCTTACCTAGTTAGGTAATGAAACGTTTTGCAAGGGCTCCACAGACGGAGGTTCCCTCGCAGAAGTAGCCTAATCGCCCTCCACCCCATGAACAATCCTCTCCCCCTCCTCCAGACCTCAGAACAACAACAACAACAACAAAGAGGAGAAAAAATGGCCAAAATTCTGGGGCTGGGTGGAGTTGGAAGGAGATGCCTCTTGGACCAACTTGCTCCAATCGTCGGGAATAGCACTTTGCCCCAGAAGGCTAGCGTGCGTTCAGACCAAAAATTCGGGGTCGTGTGTGTGTGTCCGTCCGTTCAAGGAACTTTTTCCTGAACCCGTGGACCGGAGAAATTTAAGGGGAGAGTTGAGATACTCCAGCTACCCTCTTGGTTTTCGTGGGCACCCGGGAAATAGAATAACTATGAGGGCCCAAGTCCAACGAATCCCCACCCTTTGGAAGCCCCCCCCTTCGCCGGCAGGTTGTGTCCTGTCTTACCTGGATACCCGACGGAGGGATGGAGCAGGTCCATCCCGGAGGTGGTGAGGCTTAGGCCGTTGACTGCGTAAGGTGGTTGCTTAAGATAAGACATCATGCTAAAGTTGGGGTGAGGAGAAAAAATGGCCAAAATTCTGGGGCTGGGTGGAGTTGGAAGGAGATGCCTCTTGGACCTACTTCTTGCTCCTTTCCTCTTTCTTCTCCAGAGCTTTCGGGGAGAGAAGTTAACCTTGAAATCTGGAGCCTTTAGAAAAAAAAAAAGGAGACAGGGAGAGGGAAGGAGGGGAGAGAGAGAGAGAGAAGGAGAGAAAGCAGAGTGAAAAAAAAGTCCTGTCTACGGGGGTCTTCGAACTAGCGAAGTCTTGCTCGCTGCAGGGTGGCACCCGCTGAGCTGCAGGACCTGCCAAACCCCGGCCGACTGGAGGGGCGCATCCCTCCCCCGGACTGCCTCGAGAAACTCCTTCCCCTCCATAAGTCAGAGGGGCGACGTACAGTAGCAGCTCCTTTCGTTTTAGGAGCAGCCCACCCCCACCGAACACAAGCACGCAGGCAGGCAGGCACTCCAGCCTCCTCCGCTCGGCCTTGCTTTCCAGGGGGCATTTGCCAAGGTTTTCCTGGGTTTAGCAAGTAGTTAATTGCCTCCAACAAAACTTGATTGGGACCCATTTTGGACACAAAGGACCCCTTGGCTAAATAAATAAGGCTGCTAACAAAGCTTCCCCACCCCACGCCGTAATTTTCCTCGGCGACAAAGGAGCGTATCTGTTGTCCCCACCCCCACCCCGAGCTTTTTAATTACCCCGGATTTTTCCAACTGCAAAAGAAGCGCCCCCAAGAAAGTTGAGAATTCAAATGCCCACTTTAAAGAAGATCTAAGCGAGGGGGGGTTGGTGGGGGGTGGGGGCGCTCCTCTGATTTACCGTCCCTCTATCTCGGCATGCCTGAAGTGATTTCTTTCAGCTAGTCCCCCCCCCCCTAATTAGCACTTGCGCTAATTAGATTTAGAGGGGGGGAAGGGACCCCCGATTTTGAAGACTTTTAGTGAGGGTGGGAGGAGGAGGAGGAGGAGGAGGAGAGAGAAGGCCGCAGCAAGCTAAATAAACAAGTAATTAACTTTTGCATGAAGTGGGGGGAATCCTTTCGTCCAAACTCTCATCCAAGCCACCGTCGGTTTTTGCCTTCCTCGCTTTTGGAGAAGATGGAAGGGGAAGAAAGGTCGGCCTTAACCGGAGCCTTTGAAACCTGCGCCTGGGTGAAGGACCAGGAAAGAAGCGATCTTGGGTTTTCGTTGATTTGGGAGTCTCTCCCCCCCCCCCGCACCTCCAGCAAGTCTGGAGACCAATCTGCAAAACATCAACTTCCGCACCAATTCGTGGTGTGCATTTCTTCGTTTCAACACAAGATTTTGGGTGTCAGCAACCTTCTCGGCAAACTTCCAGAGAGTTCCCCCTACTCTCATCCCAGGCAGGGGGACGGTAATAGATCCTGACAGATCAAACCTTCGCGCATCGATGAGGAAAACGGAGGAGAGGGGGTGTTTAAGATTTCTGTGAGGATCTAATGGGTTTGAAGTTTTGGGAAGAGGAGGAGGAGGAGGCTGAGGTCTTCTCCCTCTTTCTGCACCGCCACCAAAGGCCGTCTGGAGGTAGGCAACCAACCAACCAACCAANTTTTCTTTTTCTTCTTCTTCCCCAGATCCAGGAATGGACTGAACTCAAATTTCTGAGCAAAAGGACAAATACAAGAAGGCAGCCAGGAGTAAATAACACCGGATTTAAAATAAATAAATAGCTGTTCTGCACGTCTCCTTGGAAACGGACAATACTCCTTAGCGCTGGGTGGAGAGAAGGGATTTATACCTCTTTTGTTTCAAATGAAAACAAATGATATTAAGGAACTGGGGAGGGAGGGGGAGAGAAAGAGGGAGGGGAATATGCATGTGTCAGGAGGAGGCAGCTAAGAGCAGGGAAATCCTTCTGCAGTCACTGGGAGAGCTAAAGGGGCCTTTCTTCCCCTAATTCTCTTACCTTTCTCCCCCTGCTTGGAAGACTGATTGGGGTCGAAATTGTCCGGGTTCCAGGTGAATTTTGCTTTTCCCAAGCATGCACAGAAAAGAGAAAAACGAAAATTCATCTGGCCAACTTTTGAGGGTTGGATAACAGCAATATAAATAAATAAATACATAAATACATGAAAATAAATGTATTAAATTAAAATTTAAATAAATAAAATTGTTTAAATGAAATAGCAACCTTTAGTGGTCTCCCATTCATGAGGTTTTCTGAGTAAGGAAGTGGACTGTGTTCTCACAATCCATTTAACAAGGCACAGCATCTTAAGTTTGGTCAGTTTTAACCTTAATTTATTTTGCATTTTGCTCGCTCTCTCCCCACCCAGCCTTCTCTCTGTGTTTGTGTGATAAGAGTTCAACAAGGCTTCCAGATCTAAAAACTGGGCTATCCCTATCAGGATAAGCAAGTTATAGTGTGTTGTGTGAACACAGCCAAAGTTTCAGCCAAGTCCTTCAGCAGCCCCCAGCTGCTTTCATTCCCAGATTAAGCAGATGCCTTCATCTTCACTGTCCCAACTGTACCTTTTTAAGAGGCAACTGGACTTTCTGGATTTTCTTTGAAGATGTTTCGCTTCTCATCCAAGGAGCTCTCCTTCAGCTCTGAAGGGACAGCCATGACCGGGATGACTGAGAATCTCCATAGACCTCCATTTCCAATGCACCACCCTCATCCTCCAACAAGCAGAAGGCAGCTACTTTCTGTCCTGCTCTGCATTTTTTGGCTGCCTTCCCCACAGTCACGGAGAGTGGAAGCACAGGCCCAGGCTGAGTTTCTCTTGCAGCTGTTGCCAAAAATGTTGCTGCTTCAGAAATGCAACATCTGGAGAACAGGAAGGTAGCCGTGGCCCACTTGGCAAAAACACCTCCCGCCTGTTAACCAAGCGCAGCAAAGAGTGTGGTGATATTCTGGAGCAATGTTTCTCCACCTTGACAGCTTGAAAAATGTGTGGACATCAACCCCCAGAAATCCCCAGCAAGCAAAGTTGGCTAGGGAATTCTGGGAGTTGAAGTCCATAGCTCCCTAGATTGAGAAACACTGTTCTAAAGCCTAACCAATTGTTATGATCACATAGCTTTCCTGACTACTGCCTGGTTCACCAGTGGCTTAGTTCTTTTAAGAGGGGAAATATTGTCACTACCTGTATTCAAACAACAGCTGGGTGGGGAGGAAGGAGAAGGGACAGCTGTGTATACAGGCAACATTTTCAGCCGACATGTTTGTGCAACACTCTTAACCTATTTTTGGATGGAACCATTAGTTGGGATTGCACACTAGATAGAATCATAAACTAGCGAAGAGTTTGCCTTCTTTCCGGGGGGGGGGGGAACTAACCATGCTTCAGACTACATAAGCATGTGTGAATGCATCCTGTCAGTCTTTCCCTGACCTGGCAAAGTGGGTTCTGTGAGCACACGGACAATATACACACGCACAGGGCTACACATGTGTTTGAGTAACATTGATCCCTGACTGCTTCTGAGGTGGTAACCACTTTGGCCTTTGAGTGTCATCGCCAAGAAGAAATACATGCAGGATTCCTTCACCAATGTTGGCCAAACAACATTTATCTCCCATTCTTTCCAAAGTGCCAGACCTCGGCTGCTCCTTTGCAGGTTCCCAACACAGCAATTCCACTCTTTTTTTCTCATTGGTAAGCCAATGGAGGTTAATTATTCTTTTTCTTTTATCTATATCCCACTTGTACTATGTTTTACAAATAAGATGGCAAAAACATCCAATACACCTTCCTCCTCCTGTTTTCCATACAACAACCCTGTGGGGTGAGTTGGGCTGAGAGAGGGGGGGGGAGGCTCAAGGTCAAGCAACTGCCTTCCATGGCTAAAGCAATGCTTGGATTCACTATCAATGGCTTCTTAGCTTGGTGCCTTAATCATCAAAACCAAACTGGCTTGGCTAGGAGATGGGAGAAGCAGGTCCTAGTTCTTCCTTATGCACAGAAGCCAGCTGGGTGCTTTGGTGATTTCTTAATATTCTCTCTCTCTCTCTCAGCCCTAGAATTCTTCCCTCCCCACAAATTTCTACCAACCCAGCTACGATACAGCCTCAATTCAGAGGCTTCCATCCTCCAGTAGACTCATTTGGAGCCATTGTCATCATGGGGGGGGGGGAGGACAACTTGGCAATTTAGAACTGAAAGCAATGGAAAGAGAAGGGAAGTGGTCTCGAAGGCAGGACTGGGCAAAAGTCGGGAGACCTTACACCTTACAGACCTCAGTCTTTAAGCGTCCTCTGAATCTCGTTCTCGTTCAGCAGTTGTGGGCATCCGGTTTACAGAGAGAGGGGATTCCTAATAGGGAAGGAAGGAAGCGAGGACTTTTCCACGCCAAAGGAACTTACCTCTCCCGTTTCTTTCCCCAAACTCTTTCGACTTTCGATCTAGTTTGTCTGTTCTATTATCAAAGGCTTAGGGTTCGGTTTGGCTTCAGAATCGCCCCCCCCACCAAACGGACCACAAACAGATCAGGCCTCTCCCACCGCCAGAAGGAATCCCCGGGGCAGTTGCAAGAGGCTAGGATGACCTCCAGCTTCGATCAAAATAGATTTAATTGCGAGCCGAGTGACTGGGGCCAAATGGTAGCCGATAGGGGCAACTTCTAATCCCCTTGGCGAGTTTATTCAAACCTTCCTTTCCTTTTTGGGTAGAGGCAACTAAGGCTTGAAAAATAAATTTAAAAAAAGGCAGACCTCTGGTGACGACCACGATTATTTCGCACTGACGTTCTCGCTTAACACTTAACGAATTTCACCGGAAAGCTTCCTATCTCACGCTCCCCTCGCACACCATACACAATTTTATTGTAATCTAATTGTTTAGAGAAAAAGTTTTTAAAAAATAAAATAAAATTGTTGCTCCTCTTTGATCTGCGACCGCTGGCGGAGATTTTTCTGCCTTTTTGCTTCCTGCCTGAATTAAACCAATAACANGCGCTCCCTTTCCCTCGCCAGACCTCCTCCTCCTCCCCCTCCTGCGCGGACCCCCATCTACCAGTTGCTCTGTCCCCGCTCAATTATAATTACCCCGTCCAAGAATTAATTATAATAAATGTTTTCTTGATAAACTAACGAGATAATCCGGGCGGCACACGGCCCCTAATTACGGGACGGCTGCAACAGCACTCAGGATCATTTGGGTTGATTAATTTTCTGCCTGATGGCGATGAAAGAAAGAAAAAAAAATAGAGTCCTACCCTTGCAACCGACTGGCGGAGAGGTGCGGGGAGAGAGCGAGAGAGAGCAGGCGCTTCCACCGGTTAACCGACGCAGGGAGATGGACGAGCCCGTCTCCTTCCGTCCTGCCCCGAGATCTTCGGCGCCAGCTGCCCAGCAAACGGCGCACATACACACACACCCCAGACCCTCGGCGCAGTGAGCCTTGGGGCGCAGGCAACCCCCAAGTCGTTTCTCAAACCGACTGCCAAGCCGACGCACCTCCTACCGCCTCCTGCCCTTCCTCCCCGGCCGTTTCTTTTCATGGGGGCAGCTTGGACGGTGGAGAAGGCCTTCCACAGTGGGACAGGAGCTCCAGGAATTCCCTGGGGGGGTGGGGTACAAAGCCTAAATTCGCCTTTGGGCCAAAGAGAGTCGCTCCAGCTTGGGCCATGTCGAGCGCGATTTTTGCCCCAACTCATTAGGAAGTTTTCTAGGCTGGGTTGCAGTTTGAGTTCTCCAGACTTCTCCTTCCTCCGTTTTCTCCAACAATTCTCCAACGATTTCTAAGGCTTCCTGAGGCTCGGGGAACCAGCCATAGGCCTGACTTCCGAGCATCCCGCGGAAGTCGGGGAGAGTTTGCTGGGGAACAAACGGATCGGGACCAAAGTTTGCCTTTCCTCAAAGCTACGATCCCAGGCCGGTTGATTTGTGTGTGTTTTCCCGACACCCCCCTCCCCCCCGAGAAACAGAACTGCAAGCCTTCCGTGCAACTTTACGCCGGGAAAGCAATTCTGTTTTACTTTTAAGTTGTACGGGGTTAGTTAGAATCGATCTGCTAAAAACCTTTTAAAATCTTGGTTTGAAATACGAGCGAGGCCAATGGCAGGGGACTGGGAAGCAAGGTTAGACACGAGGATCTGACCGCCATCCTAACCCGAAATCCCCAAGAGCCTCGCTTTGCAACTAATGTCAAGTAGTAGGGGAGGAGGGCGCGCAAAATCGAATTCTTTGCTAATGGGAGAGGTGTTGTTAAGAAAAGTAGAGAAGAGAAGCGTAGCTGGTGGGGAAAGGCAGCAAGAAAGACTGAGGGTTTTTTTTCCTGAGCAAATTTGCCATCTTCTCTGGGGCCCAGAAATCCGCGCCTTTTCTCCCTTGCAGGCAGCCCAGGAGAGAGCCGAACATTTTTACGCCACAACCGTTTAAACCACATCTTTTTACCAATACTGTTAAGGTCCACCTGGCAACCTGCAATGTGTGCCACCTTTTAAACCTGCGTACAGTTGTGGAGGGATCTCGGTGGGGAGATTTAGATCTACGCCCTCGTAGCTTTCTGGCCTGAAAGACTAAGAGAGACTTAAAACGAATTCAAAAGCGGCGAGCTGGCCCTGCGTGAGAAAACTCGAAGCTCGCAAACTCCCCGTTCGAAACCTCCTTTTGGCTAATACAACTCATAGGAATAGTGATGTGCTTCTCCCTTCCCTGATGGGAGCGGGGGTGGGGGGTGGGTGGGAGAGAGCAAACAAACCCGATGGAGAAGATTATTGCCGTTTCTCAGACATTGCAAGGTGATGCGTCAGAACGAACTTTGTGGACACCTTTAAACTCACTACTTTGAGTCTTTAAAGCGCTCCTGGTTCGGGTGTAAAGAAGCACCCACAAGCCCAGGAAAGTTGGAAGTCGGTAGATGGGTTAGGGAGATTCTTCGGAGGTAAAGGCCTCAGGCTTCCAATAGGGTTGCTTTCCAAAGAAGGGCTTTTAGAATTTGGGGCGGGGGGGGGGCAGGGCACGTCCAAAATCTCTGGAGTTGTCTACCTTCCGGCTGGTTTGTTGCCTGTAGAAGCAGCCATAGAGAAACCCAATCACCCCGCAACTTTCCCTTAGCTGGACTGGATTTCTCCTTTCCTCTGCAGAACAGATTGACTGATTTGCTCTTCCTCCTTCCCTCCTTCCGTAAATTCGCTGCGTTGTCTAGTAATACTCTTGGTCCAAGAATATCAAGGCTGGACTGGGGGAAGAAATCTCTTCAACAGGATCCTATCTAGCCAGATTCCCTCTCTTCAAACCCAACCCCCCTTCCTTTCCTTTCCTTTCCTTTCCTTTCCTTTCCTTTCCTTTCCTTTCCTTTCCTTTCCTTTCCTTTCCTTTCCTTTCCTTTCCTTTTCCTTTCCCTCAGTTGAGCGAAGGTTTTCCTCTGGGCACTGCAACTCTTTCAAGTATACTTGAAAATCCAATGCTGTGTGTATGTCCAATGATTTTTAGTCTATTGATCGGACTCTCGGAGATAAACTATTTATCAATAACTCATGAGCTAGGTGGATTTAATTTCCTTCTCTCTGCCCTGCCCGGCCCCTCCATGAAGACAAGGGAAGAAAACGAGAGCTTTGCGTATGTGGGGAGTGTGATTCTGTTGGCTGCACACAGCCCAGCTAAATCGCGGAATTAACATTAACTTTGCTTTCCTCCGGAGGGGTCTTTGTTCGCCACCCATTTTTAAAATAAGCTAATTGTAACGCTGCCTCCTCTCTACTCCGAGGTAGCCCCAGTTCAGTTCAGTTGCCCCCCCCCCGGATAAATTGGAACCTTTCTGGTTAAATCTTTTTTGAATTCAGACGAATTTACAGCCAGCAAAAGAAATGGTCGGATTGGGCCGAATTTTAGGTAAATCTAGGAGGATTCTGCAGGGGAAACGCACAAGCGCACACCGCACCCTCCAACACTTCACTTCGCACTACTCAACGATTTTTTCCCCCACCCCGACAAAAGAAAAGCGATATGATGAAGGAACCAAGCGGGCCAGAAAGAGTGTAACAAAAGAAAACAAAACAAAACAAAAAATTTTCAGTTTGAGGACCTCTTAGATCGGTGCCTTTTTTTTCAACCCCCAGTAACAACTTTTTGCCGCACAAAAACGACCCAATCGCCGATCCTGGAAAAGGCTCCCGGCACAGGCGCGCACCCACCTCGCTAGAAAGCAAAAGGCCCTTCGATTTCAGCCTAACTTTGAGAGTCTCAAGACGGGGTGTGGGGGAGGTGGAGGTGGCGGGGGAGGGGGGACACCCGATTTGTACGAGTGGCCAAACGAAAGAAGAAGAAGCCTTCCCTTCGCCTCCTATTTCCCAATAGCCATAATCAAAGGCCCATTCTAAAACAACGCCCGGCGGTGGTTTGTGTGTGTGTGTGTGTGTGTGTGTGTGTACCATCCTCTCACTTACCTTGAAGCTTCCAGAAAAGCTGCAAGTTAAAAAAAATGTTGTGGCAAAACCGCCCGGCCGAAGGATCTCCAGGAGCTCCGGAAGCCGAGTTTTTCTCCTACAAAAGAAACCAAGAGGGGGAGAGGGTTAAAAAAGACCCTTCCTCCGAGACAGCGGTCCTCTCTCCTTCTTTCCCTTTCGCTTCTGGCGATGAAGATGAAGGGGGCGACGGTGACGGCGAAGGAGGATGAGGATGAAAGAGGGGGAGGAAGGAAAGAGGAGGGCAAACTGGAAAACCGCGACCTGCTTCTTAAACAGTCAAGGCAAATAAGGATAATGATTTAAAGAAAAAATATACCAAGCTCCCTCTCTAACCCCCCCTCCCCTCTGGCGAGCGGAGGGGCAGGAGGCGCCGGAGCGAGGTGGAACTGGGCGAGGGGGGGGGCGGGGGCAGAATGGTGGCGAACGCGCGGCAGTCGGGCTTTCTCGCTCGCTCTCCCGGCTGGGTTTGCTGCACAAGCGCCTCTCGGGCAACTTTTTTGACGGCGGCTCTCCAACCAATGGCAAGCAGGGAATGATTGACACATCTAAGCCAGAGGGAAAAGAATAAAAACAGACAACGGGGGGAAAGGAAAACAGGGGCCCAGCTTCGCCGGGGGGACAATCAGGCAACAAATAACAGCTACTTTTTTTCTTTTTCAAAAAGAGGCGCACAGGCAGGCACAGAAAAATATACAGGAGAAAAGGATCCCCCATTCCCCTCCCTCCCCTCTCCTGCCACCCCCCCTTCGGAGCGCTTCTGACTGGAAGCCTCTCAAGACGCGCAGGGTGGACAAACCAGGATCGGGTTACCCTGTTTGCCTCGGGGCAGAGAAAACGAAGGATCGCTTGGAGGGCGGAGAGAAGAGATGGGGGGCAATTAGCCCCTTGATCGTATAAATAAATATCAGGACGCGGGTGGGGAAAATCGGGTGGGGGAGCTCCCTCTCGCAAGGCCAAGTGGTTGGGCTTGAGGTCGCGGCGTTTCAGTCGGCCGCAGCTTCTTAAATAACTCAGCTCCCCAGTCCTAGGAGGGAAGGAGAGTCGAGCCGCTGCGGTTTTGCTGGTGGGTAAGGAAGACCACCACCCCGTCCCCCTCCCACCCGCAGCCTCCCAATCTCCGCAAGTCCGCCAAAATGGGCAGGAGGGAGAACGGGGATGGTAGCCAGCCTATTTCCCATAGACTCGTGGCGGAGATTTCATGCAATGTCCACGGTTGCACTCACTGGCTGGGTTCTCACCACCGGCGCTAAACCCTCACATCGGGGCTCCCCAAACGCGACCCCAGTGGCGTAAGACGCGATCTCCCTCGACGAAACGCTAAAGGAAACGGCTGGGCTCGTCCAAGCGAGGGTACTAAGGCTGGCTTCCCACAACCGGCTGGGCTAGGAGCTACCCAGGTCCATCTCAGCCCAGGCGAGCCTGCGTTGGGACCGCAGCCAGTGTGCCCGAGCCCCGAGCCAAGCAGCAATTGCGGGCGCGCCTGTGTAGCCTACCTGCGCAAGGAGGACTCGCCTCTTCTTTGCGGGCGAGCGTTTCCACGAGGGAGGTGAAAGTCCTGAGCGTCAGTGGGGGAGGAGCTTCCCTGACACTCACCCCCTCTCTGCTCGGGAGTCAGAACCTCCTGGACTCGGTCGGACTTTGTTCTGCGGAGACCTGCCTAAACTTGCAGTTCTTAAGTCACTTGCCCCCCAACCACGGTTCCCCAGAAGTCAATCTGGAGACGGCGGCTAATAAAGACACATTTCATTGGGGGAGATTAAAACAACCTCACTCACTCTTTCATCCCTCACTCTTACACACCTCGAGGTGGCCCCCAGGACTGCCACGCGTTGGGTTTCGGAGAAAGCTCATTTGTGGGGTTCTGGGTATTTGAGAGAGGGAGGGCTGCTGGCCTAACTTCATGGAAAGGCCTGGCTGAAAGCGAGCAAAGACAACCCTCAGCAGGAGCACATAACGAATATTTAGTCCTCTCTTCAGTCCGGTAGGTCTCCCTTCCCGGCGAAGCTGACTAAAGACACGGGTCTCCCCTTCCCACAAACTGCAGGACCCCCCCCCCCTTGCCTTGTGGGGCGCGTCCCGTCGGGGAGAGCCAAGTAGCCTGGGCGTTAGGAGGCATTTCGAGAACCAGAGAGATTTCGACGGATAACCTGAGCCATTTCCACGACTCGAGGCTGGGTTACAGATATAGACCCCGAGGTCCTTAAAACAGGACCCGAGGAAACGAAATCGATTTAAATCGACTTCAGATCCCGGAGGTCTCCTCCTCTTCTTCTTCCTAAAATGGAGGGAGGAAATCTGCTTTCCCCTCTTCTTGGACGTATTCATTCTTCCCTAAGTTTAAAGCCCGTTCATTCAAAGCGTCAAATGTTAATAACTGCGTTCACACAAGGCGCTTATAATAATAACCCTTACTGAATTAACTCGTTTCTTGGGTCCTTCCGTGCTATATTTCGAAATGAACGAGAAAGGCCAGGCTGACCCAGCCCTTTAAAGTCACAAGAAGTCAACCAAGGTTACACGCCAAGGAGGGTTCTCCGGGTGTAGCCGTTAGTCTGAGTTGTGTGAACTTCTCTGGCCGGGGTGAAGGGCTGCGTTTCAGGACGAATGAATCCTCCTCTGGCTCCTCTCGGGATCTTAAGGATTTTTCTTCGCATTCAGGCAATTTGTTAAATCTCCTCTTTATGTTAATTCCTGGCTGGGCCCTGCCTCAAGCAAACGACTTTCCCGCCGCAATAAATTAATTCTCGCAAACTGCCTAGTAGTTAGTGTCCTTCCTTCCTTCCTTCCTTCCTTCCTTCCTTCCTTCCTTCCTTCCTTCCTTCCTTCCTTCCTNCTCTTCCTCTTCTTCCTCCTCCTCTCCTTCTCCTTCTCCTTCTCCTTCTTCTTCTTCTCAGATTGAGCATGAATATCTGCAAAATCATCTTGGTTTCTGGCCGCTTGCTAAATCATTAAAGAGGCCTCTGCCTGTGAATGCCACGCTAAAAGCGCTCATTCATTTCCCACCAAATAAAAGGAGAGGAATGTGATTATCTTGCTACAGTCATATGAGATACAAGAAAAGTAATCAAACAGCAAGCAGATGCTCCAAAAATCCTCTGCTTTTTTTTTTTTTTTTTGGCAAGTTAATATTACCAGTAGGCCTGTCTGTCAGGACTTTAAGCCTTGCTGAGAATCTTCTTCTATGCACCCCAGCCAAACTGAACTCAGTTGTCAGCCCTCTTCATAAATCCTATCTCAAGAAACCATGAAGATTTACTGGGTGGCCTGCAAGGAATTCATAGTTATGGGAAGCACAGGGCTGCCCGAGTGCCAGCAGTTTGCTCAACAACTGCATGGGAGGATTGCATTGAACCTAATTCATCCCAGTCACTTTTTGAGATCAGAATAAGCTATACTGGAAGGAGAGGGAGGGAGAAAAACCCAGTCCAAGATATTGTCCAAGCAAAGTAGATTTGGCCTATTCACTCCCTAGAGAGCTATAGAGTCTTACAATGCTACCCCAGTCCTCATAAAGGTGGATCTCATTATGGCACATTACAGGTAGATGACAATACAAATCACTAGAGAGGAAATGTCCTGGGTGGGTCTGTCCCAATGTTTTTCAACCTTGGCAACTTTAAGGTTGTGTGAACCTCAACTTTCAGAATTTATGCTGACAGGGGAATACTGGGAGATGGAAGTCCACGGGTCTTAAAAGTTGTCCAGGTTGAAAAAATACTGGCCTAGCAACATGCAAGGATGAAATACTGTTCTGATATGGTACACATGACATTCTTTCAAGGAAAGGTGCAGGATCAAGAATTAGAGCATTGCTGAATTAGACTGGTGGTCTGCAAACTCAAGAGTCCTTTTTGGGGGGGGGATAATGGCAAAGCAGAAATCTCTCCCACTCCCCAGACAGGCCATTAAACATCAGGTCTTGCCCCACTTCAAACTTCTGGTTTTCAGAGATCCAAAATTTTGGAGCCTAGGTCCCATTTTAGCTTATCGCCCTCCACTTCAATGCCACCTTTCTTTTAAAATTGTGGGATATCTCTGGATGGCGGCAATCCATACCTGGAGATGGCTTTTTCAACTAAACATATAATTCCCCCAACACTGTCAAACTATTTACTAAGTCTCCGCTACTATTGATCTTCTCATTGTTCCCATCACTCATCTCCTCCCACTTATGACTGTATCTTTGTGCTTGTATCCTTACAATTTATACTGATATTGATTGTTTCCTGATTGCTTATTTATACCCTATGGCTATCACTAAGTGTTGAATCTTATGATTCTTGATGAATGTATTCTATTTTATTTTTATGTACACTGAAAGCATATGCACCAAAGACAAATTCCTTGTGTGTCCAATCATCACACTTGGCCAATAAAGAATTCTATTCTATTCTATTCTATTCTATTCTATTCTATTCTATTCTATTCCATTCCATTCCATTCCATTCCATTCTATTTTTTTTCTTAGGGGTCT